CCCGCCCTCGGGCTGGGTGGGGGGGCAGAAATACAGCAGTTGTGGGTGTAGCTTTAAACAAACATCACCTGTTTGTTTTCAATGTAGTATTTTATTTAGCTTAGAACAGCCGGTCCCCCTCCCGACGCCAGTCGCCCCAGGTGACTACACCACTATACCCGTTAGCCCTACAATCCCCCGGCACCGTTTTCCAAAGCAGGTCTGCACCCCTTCCTGATGGCAGCAAGATGCTCTTCTCCACATTTGTCTGGCAGAAAGAGGCGCCCAGCCCGCCCGCAGTCCAGCCAAACCCGCCGCTTACTCCCACCAGACCTGTGGCACTAGTACTGCCCTCTCTTGAGCTCACCCTTCTGAGCAGTCATGTCAATACCTCATCCCTTGCTTCTGTTGCGCAGGCATAAGGTGCACGCTACGCACGCCAATCTGGTGAGCAAACTGATAGCAACCGTGGAGTAAAAATGTTATCGTTTACGCTCGAGTATATCTGGCTTCCAAGGAAAAACCTAGATAAGAAATGTCTTAACAGCTAAGATAAGATACCTAAGAAAATCTTAACCAAACAGCTCCAAAACAAAATCTCAAGAATGCTTTTTTATCCCCTAAAACGACCCACTGTAGTTCATTTATAAGCCAGTACATGGTCATGCAGTCTGTAACAAAGATACTATATAGATTAGTTAAACACATTATCTCAACATTAGCAGTATCATTAGCACCATCAAAATTGATATTTGGAAACCCTTAAAGAGGCTAAATTAGCATCAGGCACAACCCAGCAGTATTTTGTAGTACACTTTAATGATGAGGATATTTTAGTATTACTTAACACATTCCAAATAGACAGATGCAAAAAGTTTTGGCTCATCAATACAAAACAACCACTTTGATTTTTTTAGTACAGACCCCTGAGAAGTTATCTGAAAAGCAAAACAAGATGCTATTTCAGTTTTGGGACACTACCCAAATTATCTTTGTAGCACAGACATAATTCTTTCCGTGACTGCAACTAAGTCAAGAAGCACTTCGGGAAGTTCTGTTTACACATTGCTTCTTAATGTTTACCTTGCCTCCCTGCCCTCTTCCTTTCTGAGAGATGATTTTTTTGGCACTTCCTCCACAGATGGGTGCCTGAATTGGGTGGTCTCAAGTCCTTTGACATTTGCTCTTTTGAAATCCAGTTCCGTGTTTCAGACCTAGCCTTGTGTAGCCTTCTATTTATTTTCAGTAGAATTTATTCAAGCCAGTTATGCAGTTCATAGGAGTCCAAAGAACATTTAACAAAGTTAAAATGCAAATAAAAAGTTTAGATGAGAGTAATTAAAACAAGGTTAACTCAAAAAGAATACAATACCACTGAACTTAGACTCCTACGTACTCTGACTACAATTTAAATGACAGCTTTAGAAATCTATTGCTGAAAGACAGTACAGACAAAATTTAGTATCACAGTAAACTTTACTATTTCAATATCTTAAAACACAAGTAAGAGTGTGCATTTGTACACCAATGCATTTACAGAGCAAAGTTATGAGAAAGATTAAACTGCAGCATAGAGTCACTATATCCTCAGCAGAAATCATCGGGCATCAAAAACCACCACTGGAATAGTGCAGTTAAAGGAAAAAAATGTGTTGTGGTTGAAAAAAGATCAGGGAGAAGAAGGGGGGGGGGGGGGGGGGGGGAGGGGGAGACACGCAAAAGAGAGACTGCCTAAATCTAAAGTCACAACTAACTACATAAAAGCATTTCACAACTCATCTTTAATTAACCCCACAACACTTTCCTTTTGTTAAAAGGCTGACTAATATCAACTGTTCACAGTACATCTCCCAGCAGACTATCACAGCTTATATTTTGCATAGAAAATGGAAAAAAAGAGACAAAGTGCCAGGAACGAAAACAAGATCCCCAGTCACACTGCAGAGATTTCCCTATAGTACTTTACTCTGCTGTATTGATTTTTCGCCTTGAAGGATTCTTACATAATCACTCAAATCTTCCATTCAGTTTCCCTTGTCTCCATCCACAGCTTCCTGAATGCATTCAAGTGCCCGTGTAAAAGGATACATCTTTTTGTCCTTTTCTTGTACATTATTCTGTAGCCACATTCTCTGCATCTGATAGGATCTCTTGCCTTTATTTCATTTTCTGTATGACATTCTGACGTGACGGAGGAAGAGAAAGGGAGTGGATAAACAAAACCAGCATTGTTAATGCATAGATAATTTTTAAAAGTCATAATAGTCAAATTCCTACTTGTGGCAAACAAAACATAATAAAAGATAATTGTAGTGAATTTGTATCACGAGCTGAATGATATCAAGATACTGTGCAAAAAAAAAATTAGCAAACTTCACTTATATTAAGATAAAAGAGGATCTTGCTAAAAATCACCAAATTATTACTGTACAGAATGCATTCCACTCGATACAACTAGACTGTCTACTAATGAAAACTTCAGCTCGGCCCTCCAAAGTCCCAAGTTTATTTTCTTAAAAGACAAAACATTTCAGAGATTCCTGAAGTGATGACTGAAAATCACCAATTTTTAAGTTGTTGACTTATCTATAGGTAAGAGAATTTGACTACTGCACTTCGATAAAAGCCGAGTGACCATACAGCATTTTCAAAAAAATTCTCTGAGAGGCACCAAATAGAAGGTCCACTATCTGCACCACAAGCGGACACTTAGAGAAAGCGTCCTCTGGAGATGGAAGACCTCCACACAGCAACACAAGCTCTAGTGAATTACTTCCACATCGCTATCCATATATACCACATATATGTGGTACCATCAGCATGTAAAGCTTTAAAGAACATCAGGATCCACACTGCAACTGTTTGTACTTATGTACTCTTCAGTGTAATGATTATGCATTCTTCATTATTAAAACACCAAATCTCCAGTAACAAGTAAAAAAATTCACTGATGTCTTTTCTTTACCTCCGCAAATGTAAATCATTGGCTGCTGCTTTGGAGGCTGAACATCCTTCTGTGAATCCATGTTCTAAACAAAAAACACACAATATGCACACCAGTTTTGGGTTTTTAATTATTTTTTCAAGGCATACACAATCATTTAAATATCTCAATCTAAAGCTAACAGAAGATTAAAAACATACAATACAAACAAATTCCATCTGTATTTGATACACAGGACACTGGATAATTCAGGTTGGAAAAGAAAGTCATCTAGTTCAATTTCTCAAAAGCAGAGTAACATCAGGTTTCTCAGAGCTTTACCAATCTGGTATAGAAAACCTTCAAAGACGGAGATGGCACATTTGGACAGGCTGGATCAATGGCCCGAGACCAACTGTATGAGATTCAACAAGGCCAAGTGCCGGGTCCTGCACTTCGGCCACAACAACCCCATGCAGCGCTACAGGCTTGGGGAAGAGTGGCTGGAAAGCTGCCTGGCGGAGAAGGACCTGGGGGTGCTGGCTGACAGCCGGCTGAACATGAGCCGGCAGTGTGCCCAGGTGGCCAAGAAGGCCAACGGCATCCTGGCCTGTATCAGAAATAGTGTGGCCAGCAGGAG